CTCTCTGGTGGCTGTTTCATCTCACGAAACAACCACACATGTATGAACTATTCTTTATTGGAGAAAATGGCAGTTTGAAGATATTTTTTAACTAGAGGAAAATGAATTGCAGAGTTGTTTCTTTTCTCTTTCTCTGGAAGTTTTTATCTTCCATTTTTGAAAATGCACAAGCAGATGGCTTTTGCATGTGAAGGAAAAAGGAGATAAGGAGATTGGTGAGAGGGGAACTTGGAAGTGAAAGTTTTTGAGAGCTTAGTTACGAGCCCTGAGCCCTGAAGATGTTAAAATCAAACATGAGCAAAAGTTCCAACTCATTCCATGTTCCTGAAGCATTCGTTTAATGTAAAAGATAATGCAATGATAATACGTCTACCCTAGTCAATATATTCTAGAATTGAAAACAGTAAGTGCCCGTGCCACTCCTGAAAAACTGTCTAATCAATGTTTCCTTTTTCAAGAGACATCAGAATCTTTTGGTTTATTATAACCTAAACTCAAAATATTTAGGGGAAGGTTAAGTTAAATGGGAATTTTTCTTTTAAGCAGCAGCTTCAACGTCATTATAGAGTGGCTAAAAATGAATGTTCTGTTTTTTTACCCTCATCCTAGTATTGCTGAATGAGAAATTCTGGGTGTGGAACCCAGAAATATATCTTTTACGAAGCCCTCCAGGAGATTTTGATACATACTAAAATTTGAGACTCACTGGCTCAGGAAATAATAAAATAGTCAGTGTTCAGAGCCAGGCACCATGTCAGCTATGTGATTTCCTTTAAGACTCCCTTTACCTAAAACAAAAATAAAAAAACCCAAACAAACCAGATACACAAAAACTCCCCACTGTGTTTTTGGTTAAACAAATCTACCTTGGTTTAGTGATAAAATACATATAAAGGCTCACAATCACTCAATGTACCCTAGCTTTTATGTTTTTATTATCATCTGGTTAATTCTGCCTTTACAGTCTCTGTGTAAGTTTTATGTCTATACCCAAGCAATGTCTGCTTTGAAATCTTTGGGTTCCCAGAGATTTGAATAACACTGGCTGAGAAGACTGAATAAACTTGCCAGGAATTTCGTTTTATTTCTAAAAATTAAAAAAGTTGTTATCATTCTTTTAATTGCCAGAGGGTGGGTGCCTTCACCAGAGAAAGAGAGAGGAGAGGGAAAAAGCACTCCCTAGTGGGACAGAATCATGGCACAATCCCTTCTCCTCCAGCTCTCCACCCTGTCAGGACTTTGAGCACACACACATATGTGCTCGGCATATTTCTCAACCCATGGGGACTGGACTTGAACTCTACTCGACCACTTACGATCTGACTTCCTTTAACCACAAGGGCACAAAGATGGCCCCAGGTGGTTTAGAATACCTAAGGTTTCCCAGCATGGCTTTGTGTCCCTCTAATGATGCTCTACACATAAACGGACCCAGTGTGTTTCTCAAGCTTCTGAATCCAGAATTCAAACTGGGCAATCAGTCATGTGGGATCCAGCCACCTTAACAACCATGCCACCAACTGACCTGATGTTGATCTTATTATAATGTTAGAAAAAGACTATCATATATAGACTATATTTATAACCCAACAGGTAATAAATAATAATAATTAATAATTCATTTCACTAACATTCATCTAGTATGAAAATTTTTCTATGACCAAATATGCAGATCAAGTTAAGGTTGCATTTCAAATAACTGATAGAATGAGGAGAGACACATGGGCAGGGGGACGTATCAGAATGGAGAGAGGACAATGTGGGGCATTGGATGGCAAAGCAAAGACAGACACAGAGATCCCAACTTACATCTTAACTTGTCCATGATCTTCCCTCCACACAACGTGGCCAAAGCCATTTTGACAGCAAATACTGAAATTTTACCATGGCCTTCCCTGTTTAATGGTAAGAAAACAAAACAGAACATGATGTCATTTGGAGCACTTCCAATCACAAGGCTTGGCATTTTCTGTTCTGAGGAAATTACAGGATACATAGCTGTGTGCGTTATGTGAACACATCCACTGTAGAAAAGGTTGTGAATGCAATTGGAAACATATTTCTGGAAAACTGTCTATTCAATGTTTCCTTTTTCAGGAGACATCAGAATCTTTTAGTTTATTCTTTGTATATGTCACTTGCTCAAAACATGGCTTGTAGCCAGAGGAATGTGCACTAGCAAACTGTGGATTTAAACAACAGAACGTGCTTTTCACTTTGGGTTTCATAAAATAACTTTGTGCATAGAGATCACACAATATCTGTACTTTTTAAAAAACAAGGCTTCAAAAACATCTTTTTTTTTTTTTTTTTTTGTCAGAAAATTCCTGAATTTGAGATTAGGATAACTATGGGAACTTCTCTATCACAGTTTTTTCAACCATCATTTCCTTCCCATAGCCAACTGTGGTTATGTGAGATATTTTATTTTTCAAAGAGAACTGGTATTTATTTTAAAGAGGTGAAAGTAAGAGTTTTGTTTAAATCATTCTCTTTCTATCTAAATGACACAAGTGCTGACAAATCCTCATTGATTCAGGAAATGGAACGAACCTATCCTTCATAAAGGGGATATTATAAGAACTATAATGTTTCAGTTAGATGATTTTTCAGCTAGAGTAAACTATTCTTAAATACTTGGGATAAGAAAGCATGTCAAATTAGTAGTTCATTTTTTTTGAAGGCTACTACTCTTAAGACAGACCTGAAAAGTTATTGAACATAATAATATGGCTGAATGATAAATCTGTATTGACAAGGCTTCACATGTAGAATAAATCATTTATATATATAAGATTCATATACCTGATGTGTAAGAAGAATAGATATAATAAATAATTGTATTTTTTGTTCTTTACTAGATTTCAGAGAAGCATCATTTGCTATTCATCTTTGTTGCTGTCATTTTTATCATAATATCTAGAACACCACTAGCCAGAATGCAAAACTAATTGAACCTTATGCTAGTGATTCTTCCATTTCTGAAGAGGTGTGTGAGCGTGTGCGTGTGTGTGGTGTGTGTTTACCTTCTGAGAGAAAGAGATGGGCATCTCTAGCAGGGTCTTCACACTGCAATCCGCCTCTAGTCACAGCTAGCAAGGATCAAAGGTGCAGATGTACGTGCCTCTGGTGTGCACAGGGAGACCTTGGATGCAAATTGGGACTCTCTCCTGCGGTCTCAGCATCGCAGTGTTATATTATTACTGTGCCCTGATGGCTCGTCACTCTCATGTTTATTGCTAAGCTTGAGGACCAGACTTAAAAAAGCATTTATGGGAAATCTCAACCTCATGCCAAACTGAGTGTTTTCAAAATAGAATTCATTATATTTCCAGAGCCTTCCAAAATATGTCAACCAACGCCAGTGCTAGCGTGCTCTTTCTCCTAAAGTTTTTCTTCTGGTTGTTAGAACCAGAGTACCTAATTCTCCAACAATGAATCCTGGGGTGGGGTTCGCTCTTGATTTCTTACTTTTTCTTACTCCACTACCAGCAGAACAAACATTTAGGGATTAAGGGTTGCCTCTTAACTGCATATTGAATCCATCCCCTTCTTTCCATTCCCATGGTTACAGCTCTTAAAAGCTCTTGCTTTAACAGTGTAATAACCTCTAAAATGACTTTTCTGCTTGCACACGCTTATAAATTTGGTCGTAGTTTAAATCCCTCATTGCCTCCTTTCGTCTGCAGGATAAAGTTTTAGCTTTTGCTTATAGCGTATACAGCCATCTCCTCCAGCCTCACCTGCTACCATTACTGTTGCAACAATACCGCAGTCACGCTATTCAGTCCCTTCTGGCCCTTGCCCTTCCTGTCACAGTCTGCTCTCAAGACCCTCTCCCCACCCTTGAAATGATGCTCATTGTCAACATACTTTATGCTCTGGAAACAGGTTTTCTGGATGTCCACATCCAGTCCTTCACTTTTACCTGTTATGTGGCATACCACACCTAGTGACCTTTGTTTGTTTATTTACCTGTCTGCAATGTGACTCTGCTCCATGCTGTAAGAGCCTCAGGAGCAGATATGATCTCTTCTGAATTAGCTGAATTCCCAGCACCTGGTACTTTGTCTCACACAGAGTTATCGAACCCTAAGTTTTTTATATTAACAAGTGGCTATTCATCATTATAATAGATACCCCTAGAATTTTGAATGTCTGCTTATTAAGTTGTCTACGCTCTCCACCCTGTCAGGACTTTGAGCACACACACATATGTGCTCGGCATATTTCTCAACCCATGGGGACTGGACTTGAACTCTACTCGACCACTTACGATCTGACTTCCTTTAACCACAAGGGCACAAAGATGGCCCCAGGTGGTTTAGAATACCTAAGGTTTCCCAGCATGGCTTTGTGTCCCTCTAATGATGCTCTTTCGTCCCCTAATCCTCCTTCCCAGAAGTCACCTCTGTACAATGCACTGGAAAAAACATTGATTTTTCTTTTTTTGAATTTTGCCAGAGGGTGCATGCATTTTCAAGGGGAGGAGAGAGAAAGAGAGAGAGAGAGAGAGAGAGAGAGAATGTGCAAAAAGTACCCCAAAGGGAATGTTTATGCTTCAATTTCTTCTCTTTCATCTCTTCCTCCTTTCCGGATTTTGGGTATACACATAAACGTACCCAGTGTGTTTCTCAAGCTTCTGAATCCAGAATTCAAACTGGGCAATCAGTCATGTGGGATCCAGCCACCTTAACAACCATGCCACCAACTGACCTGATGTTGATCTTATTATAATGTTAGAAAAAGACTATCATATATAGACTATATTTATAACCCAACAGGTAATAAATAATAATAATTAATAATTCATTTCACTAACATTCATCTAGTATGAAAATTTTTCTATGACCAAATATGCAGATCAAGTTAAGGTTGCATTTCAAATAACTGATAGAATGAGGAGAGACACATGGGCAGGGGGACGTATCAGAATGGAGAGAGGACAATGTGGGGCATTGGATGGCAAAGCAAAGACAGACACAGAGATCCCAACTTACATCTTAACTTGTCCATGATCTTCCCTCCACACAACGTGGCCAAAGCCATTTTGACAGCAAATACTGAAATTTTACCATGGCCTTCCCTGTTTAATGGTAAGAAAACAAAACAGAACATGATGTCATTTGGAGCACTTCCAATCACAAGGCTTGGCATTTTCTGTTCTGAGGAAATTACAGGATACATAGCTGTGTGCGTTATGTGAACACATCCACTGTAGAAAAGGTTGTGAATGCAATTGGAAACATATTTCTGGAAAACTGTCTATTCAATGTTTCCTTTTTCAGGAGACATCAGAATCTTTTAGTTTATTCTTTGTATATGTCACTTGCTCAAAACATGGCTTGTAGCCAGAGGAATGTGCACTAGCAAACTGTGGATTTAAACAACAGAACGTGCTTTTCACTTTGGGTTTCATAAAATAACTTTGTGCATAGAGATCACACAATATCTGTACTTTTTAAAAAACAAGGCTTCAAAAACATCTTTTTTTTTTTTTTTTTTTTGTCAGAAAATTCCTGAATTTGAGATTAGGATAACTATGGGAACTTCTCTATCACAGTTTTTTCAACCATCATTTCCTTCCCATAGCCAACTGTGGTTATGTGAGATATTTTATTTTTCAAAGAGAACTGGTATTTATTTTAAAGAGGTGAAAGTAAGAGTTTTGTTTAAATCATTCTCTTTCTATCTAAATGACACAAGTGCTGACAAATCCTCATTGATTCAGGAAATGGAACGAACCTATCCTTCATAAAGGGGATATTATAAGAACTATAATGTTTCAGTTAGATGATTTTTCAGCTAGAGTAAACTATTCTTAAATACTTGGGATAAGAAAGCATGTCAAATTAGTAGTTCATTTTTTTTGAAGGCTACTACTCTTAAGACAGACCTGAAAAGTTATTGAACATAATAATATGGCTGAATGATAAATCTGTATTGACAAGGCTTCACATGTAGAATAAATCATTTATATATATAAGATTCATATACCTGATGTGTAAGAAGAATAGATATAATAAATAATTGTATTTTTTGTTCTTTACTAGATTTCAGAGAAGCATCATTTGCTATTCATCTTTGTTGCTGTCATTTTTATCATAATATCTAGAACACCACTAGCCAGAATGCAAAACTAATTGAACCTTATGCTAGTGATTCTTCCATTTCTGAAGAGGTGTGTGAGCGTGTGCGTGTGTGTGGTGTGTGTTTACCTTCTGAGAGAAAGAGATGGGCATCTCTAGCAGGGTCTTCACACTGCAATCCGCCTCTAGTCACAGCTAGCAAGGATCAAAGGTGCAGATGTACGTGCCTCTGGTGTGCACAGGGAGACCTTGGATGCAAATTGGGACTCTCTCCTGCGGTCTCAGCATCGCAGTGTTATATTATTACTGTGCCCTGATGGCTCGTCACTCTCATGTTTATTGCTAAGCTTGAGGACCAGACTTAAAAAAGCATTTATGGGAAATCTCAACCTCATGCCAAACTGAGTGTTTTCAAAATAGAATTCATTATATTTCCAGAGCCTTCCAAAATATGTCAACCAACGCCAGTGCTAGCGTGCTCTTTCTCCTAAAGTTTTTCTTCTGGTTGTTAGAACCAGAGTACCTAATTCTCCAACAATGAATCCTGGGGTGGGGTTCGCTCTTGATTTCTTACTTTTTCTTACTCCACTACCAGCAGAACAAACATTTAGGGATTAAGGGTTGCCTCTTAACTGCATATTGAATCCATCCCCTTCTTTCCATTCCCATGGTTACAGCTCTTAAAAGCTCTTGCTTTAACAGTGTAATAACCTCTAAAATGACTTTTCTGCTTGCACACGCTTATAAATTTGGTCGTAGTTTAAATCCCTCATTGCCTCCTTTCGTCTGCAGGATAAAGTTTTAGCTTTTGCTTATAGCGTATACAGCCATCTCCTCCAGCCTCACCTGCTACCATTACTGTTGCAACAATACCGCAGTCACGCTATTCAGTCCCTTCTGGCCCTTGCCCTTCCTGTCACAGTCTGCTCTCAAGACCCTCTCCCCACCCTTGAAATGATGCTCATTGTCAACATACTTTATGCTCTGGAAACAGGTTTTCTGGATGTCCACATCCAGTCCTTCACTTTTACCTGTTATGTGGCATACCACACCTAGTGACCTTTGTTTGTTTATTTACCTGTCTGCAATGTGACTCTGCTCCATGCTGTAAGAGCCTCAGGAGCAGATATGATCTCTTCTGAATTAGCTGAATTCCCAGCACCTGGTACTTTGTCTCACACAGAGTTATCGAACCCTAAGTTTTTTATATTAACAAGTGGCTATTCATCATTATAATAGATACCCCTAGAATTTTGAATGTCTGCTTATTAAGTTGTCTACTTATTTTAGAGCAGGTAGCTGAAATAGAAATTCAGTGATTTTGTAAAAAACCACCTTATTCAAAATGATTCCATGTCCCCGACATTCCGAATTACAAGGATAACTGCAAGTGTCAAACATTTAACTTCAAGAAGCAATTAGCTTCTTTTGCTAAGCTGAAATATAGTTCCAATAATGAGAACAGGAAATTCCACAAAGTATAGAAGATTAGGAATAATACAGCAATACGATCGTTTTCAAATGCAAGTAAATCGAGGAGCATTACATGGTGCGACTTGAAGAGCAATACACATTTCTTTCAATGATTCAGAGAGAACAATTTAACTCAAGGGAGAGGATCGACCACAGATGACTTCAGAACAGAGTTCTCCAAAGGATGACATGGTGATAGCTCACAGGTGCATTTTAAACCTTAGCTTTTAATGAAGAAGATCATCGGGGGACTGCTGTCCTGCATTGTTCCCGGAAATGGATGATTGATGATATTAAGTCCAATAGTGGTTGTATCAGAGCTATTCTGCCAAATTGACACAATAAATCTAGATAAATCACCCAGTGGAGGGCTGCTGAATGGGAGTTTTACAGGAACCGAAGGGTGAAATTAGGCCACTGGAATCTATTGTTATGCATGTTACTATGCCAGATTGCAAAAGTGACCCCTGTTATCAAGAACTCCAGGGTGTGCAGAGATTTAGATCGTGGTAAGCACACCAATCGTGGGTGACCACAGACCTTGCTTAGGCACTGGATACATTTTTAAGGAGTTTAAGGAACAAATGGAAATGACTGATAATGAAAACGTAAATGCAATTGTTTTAAGGAACTTTTTTAAAGTTGATATAGCAGGATGAAGGAAAAGGCAGAAAAGAGGAAGATTTTCTAAACCTTTGATCATGGTCCACATCAAAGGTCATTACATACAGTCACCTTGGGACTAAAGTCCCTGTTTTGTTGTGACAAAGAATTGGCACTGACACAGAAACTATGGAGTAGGAAGAAGCTGGTGCACCTCAAATGGAGAAATGTAAGAACTGTGTTCACTGGCAACTGCCATGGGTTGGGACAAGCTTGACTTGTGAACAGTCAGTGAAATCTCTGAAGTGCTTGGGAAGCGGAAAGGAAGCTCATGAGGATGGATAACAGGAGGCTCGGGGAAGTGGCGTATGGCTCCAGAGTAGCTACATGGTAAAGCCTCCAGAATAAGGTGGTAGAACTGCACCTATGAAACGCTGGCTGCCAGCCACTCCCAGGAAGCAGACCTGCCAGTGTGTGCTGAGAATGAAACTCACAGATGGTCCCCGATGCTGCAGGCCAAAAGGCTTGGGAATACATGCACATTTTCAAAGGTACATACTAAAGTTGCTTCATAAATCAATGTTTCTTTAGATATTCTATTTCCTTTTATGCTTCATCTTCTCACTCTGAAAATTTTCAAATTGTCCTAGGTGACAAATGACTGGAAATGGAAAAAGGAAAGCACTTACTCTTTGGTTAAAATGTATATGTTGACTGGTAGAGTTTCATTTTTTTAAAAAATTGTGTTTCTTTTATACATTCAATCACTATACCTCACTTAGCTTGTAAAGTGAATTCTTCCAACGTGTATACACTTCACACCAGTCCAGCTGAGGATACTATACACGTTATCATCAACAGACAATAATCCATTTTTGTGTCCCATAAATGTCTATCTTAGAAACCTGGCTAACTTCAAAGTTTGATTTGTCATAATAAAAAGTGAATAACTACCTTTAACCTAGGATGGGTTTTTCCATAACCGTACAAAAAGACACACTGATTTCCTTTAACTAGGAAGTTACTATTTTTAGGGAAACGTTGCAGGAAAGAGAATACCTGCTTTGACAAGAAAGAAAGAAAGCAACAATGATTTTGATAGGTCTGGGATGCTAGACTAATGTTGGAACAGAATGTAAATTTTCTCCAATTTGTCAAGGGAGGTTCCTGTTTAGAGTTACAATATTCCATGATGAATTTCAAGTCATCTAGAGTGAGATTTGCATTCTTAATGATACTATCTGGAACAAGCAGGAGAAATGGTTTAAGAGTACTAAAATCAGAAGCTCCTCTTTCACCAACACATTTCACGAAAGCATTTAGTAAGCATTTTTGATAAACAAAGGCACATCACTCAGATTGCTCTTTCTCACACATTTTGGTGGTTTAATTAACTGAGAGATTTGTCTTCCCCCCTGTGTTTCCATAACATATCTCAATCATAACACATTTCTTTATCTGAAAATTATCTTGCTTGGGAACCAGCACTTAGCGTAATGGCTATGTTGCTGGACTCCCACGTAGTCGACCGTGGTTTGTGTCCCGGACTCGGTGGTTTAAAACTCACGCCAGGCGCGTGTGTGTGCGTGCCCAAGATCCCGAGAGGAGAGTGGAGGAGAAGGGATTGCGGCGTGACCATCCCCCCTGGGGGGTGATTTCTCGCTTTCTGTCTCTATGTCTCTCTCTGTCTGTCTGGCAAGCGCACGCGCCCTATAGTGAAAATCTCTCCAAAAAAAAAAAAATCTTGCTCATAAGTATCAACTCATTTAGTCACTCAATAAATATTTATTGGAATTGTCTCAGAGGTTGAGTATACACAGATGAATAAGATGTGGTTCCCAGCCTCCACTTGTTCATACTCTCCTGGAGAAAGCAGGGACCAGAAAAGCTAATTTTATGTTGCTGGACTCCCACGTAGTCG